TATTCACGATGACCCAATGCAACAACTTGCCTGCTGAGCTTGAGCTTGAGTAGCGAGTATCGAGTGAGGGAAAGTCGAATGTCGCAACTTGCCTGCTGGGTTTGAGTTGGAGTAGCGAGTATCGAGTTAGGATGAGTCGAATGTCGCGACTTGCCTGCTGGGCTTAAGTTGGAATAGCGAGTATCGAGTCAGAGGAAGTTTTCGAGTGCACACACCTGCTTACAGGTGCTTGGCCAGTGTGGTTCTGTCCCTCCTGAGTTCAGACGCATACAAAGCGTGGTTAGCTACGGCATGTGCCCGCGCAAGTCTTGCCAAACTGCTCTCCTTCAAGCGCAAAGCTCCTGCATATACCCGCTGAAGACTCACGCTGTGCCTCGGAAACAAGGTTGGTGAGTGTGCCATGCTACATCAGCAGCAAAGAATTCCCACGCAACCACAGATTTTAATTGGGGTCAAAGGCAATGCTAGCGCGCTTGGCAAGTCCGGCCGAATTTACGCTCGTCGATCTGCCTTGGCTTGGTCTCCGGGCCAGAACATCTCCTGATGGCCAAAGATCCTTTGCCGAGATCGCAAATCATGCATGCTCTGAAGCTCACTCATCGATGAGGGCCTGATGAGCTGGAATAGACCGCGGCCCAGACTTTGACAACTGAACCGATGCGTGCATACGGAACGTCCTGTTTGAAGCCACAAGCATCGGAACTGTAAGCTTTCATGCGCTGACCACCATGCTCGAGCACCGCCCGCACCTTGAGCCATCAGAGGAGAGTCAAGAAAAGCTGCTTGGCCGATCAGCAGAAACTCGCGATTGTGGTTGCATATGATTCTCGATCTGCGTCATGTCCCTGCATGCATCGATGCGGTCCTCGACAGCAAGGTCTGAACAATGTCGTGATTGAGCACCCTCGATGCCGCCAAGCATCCACCTTCCCGTCTGCCCTTTCCGTTTTCGACTGTTGACTCACAAATGATGGCCGCGACGCTAGATTAGTGTGGCCTGTGCACGAGCAGTGGCCTAGGAAATGTCTTCGCTGTTCTTCGTGGTCCGCCCTTGCATCTCTTGCACAGCCCCGCGTCAGCCAGCTGACGACGCGGTCAACCTAGTCCATCAGTCAGTGTGCGGGTCGAGCTGCATCGAAGCTGCTCGATGACGCTGACCGCCCGGCTGGCGTGCGCAGCTTCCGACCTTGATCTAGCCTAAGAACGATAAGGGCTCAATTAGGCCACGAAGCGGATTTCGGTCGAGGACGAGCTTACTGGGCTGTGCAGGACGGTTATGCATGCATATGCGTCGAGGTGCCCCTTCCCTTCAGGCCCAAGCAGAAATCCATCAGTCGTGAGTCGTGAGTCGTGAGTCGT